CCAAGTGTACGGAGCAACTGGCCACGTGCTCTGCACTGGGGAGAAAGGGAGCCGACCTCAAGAATTTTAGGGAAAAGGAGTGTTTTGACTGGACATTATAAAGCTAAAGACAAAAACAAAACAAAAACAGAAACAAGAAAAAGAGGAAACTGCACAGAACTGCATTCTGGCTGATAAACCTGCTTCTCGTGGAATGGTGGTTTAGGAATGGTGAAACCACTGCACGTGTATCCCAGGACTGAGGAAGTGTATGTACTGTGGATCACTAAGAGCCAAGCTTCTCACTGCCAAGAGGAAGAAGTTGGCTAGAATAAACTCCTGGGTGCTGGAGTAGAGTCAGAGGATCTGTATAAACTAACGGCTTTCGACAGGCAGGTAGTCAGGTAGACAGACAAAGGTGTGTGTGTGTGTGTGTGTGTGTGTGCTGGTAAACATACATACAATTTCCTTAGTTGTATCTAGAGAGGGACTAAAGGCAGTGAAATCCCAGTAGCAATAAGCACATCCAGCACCCAGGTCTTGGTTTCCAAATACTATCCTTTAATACAACTAACAGGACCGGGGCAGGCGGGTGGTGTGGTGGTGAAGGGCACTGGACTCCCACATGGTTGACCACAGTTCGAGTCCTGGACCTGACGGCTTGCTTTCTCACTTTCTCTCTCTCTCTCTCTTTCTCATTCTCTGTCCCTCTCTGGTCAAATTAAAATAAATAAATAAAATTAAGTTAAATAAAATAATTCTTTAAAAAAATAAAACTAACAGAACCCCCAGGAGAAACAGTAGATTCCAGAGCTGGCATAGGAAGAACCCAAGATGAGTCCAGAGTATCTTGTGGTACCAAAGGGAAAAAAGTGCTTGGTGTTGGGGGGAGGGGGCAAGAAGAGCAAGAAGTTAAGAGCTCCCAGTGGCCAAAGGTGTAAGAACTTGACAACAAAATAAATAAAAATAGTAGTAAGATTATAACACAAAGAAAGCACATAACCTAAAGAATAAAATAAACATGTGAGTCTATAACAATAATAATATGAATAAATGTGACAAGTCTTCGTATATATAAATATTTCCTTACAGAAGGACTGAGGAACAGAAAATCACCAATGAACGTCAACAGTAATCATTACTGTAGGTAAAAATGCACAAATAGGGGCCAACAGGTGGCGTAGTGATTAAGGTGCTGGACTCCCACGTAGTCGACTGCAGTTGGAGTCCCAGATCAGGTGGCTCGAAACGCATGCCGAGCATGTGTGCCCAATATCCCAAGAGAAGAATAGAAAAGGTTACAACATGGCCATCCCCCCCGGGGGGTGATTTCTCACTTTCTCTCTCTGTCTGTCCAGCGAGCGCACACGCCTATAGCAAAACTCTTAAAAAAAAAAAACAGAAACGGACAAATGAATACTAAAATCAATAAGAGAAAAGTTTAAGCAGAAACAAGATCCTTGCTATAATAATTACCAGCAAACCACCTTAACCAAGTGATCATGGTTAATTTAACATGACCAGAAAGAAGATACGCTGACATCATGAGCCCTGGATCATGCACCTCACCTCTGCGGTGTCCTTCTCAGTAATAAATACAGAACCTCAACCTAACAGGGAGAAAATATCAGACAAGCCCATACTGAAGGGGCCCACAAAGTAAGGGACCAGTGTTCTGCCAAAGTGTCGAGATCACAGAAGACCGGGCAACAGTGAGAAACTGGCAGAGGATGCGGTAACTACATGGAAGATGGGATCCTGGATTTGAGCGTGGAGTAGAAAAACGACCGGGCAAAATCCAAAAAAATTCTGTGTTGGATAAAGATCTTCAGTGACTTATTTCTTATTTTTGATCATTGTTCTACGGTTCTGGAGGATGTTCATATAAGAAAAGCTGAGTGAAGGGCGTAAGGGAACACTGATATTTTTACAACTCTTCTGTAACTCTAAACTTATTTCGAAAAGAGTTAAACACAAAGAAAGGACACTTCAGACAAACACTGATATGTATACTGAAATGTATCAATTGCATCTTATTTTGTGATAAAGCAAACAGCGAATGTTACAGAATCTAGTGAGGATATGACTAGTCGCTGTGATTTCTTTCACCTTTCCTCTGTATTTGAAATTTTTCATTATAACATGCTAGAAAAAGTAAAAGCCTAGGTACTTCCATTTTTATCAAGATGAACACCAAGAGCCACAGGGAAGAGAAAGGAAAAAAGGAGGCGAAACCTTTGAAGTGAACAGATACCTGAATGTAAAGTGCTAAGAGTGGGCTCCAGCTCGGTTTACCCCGGGAATCCCACAGCCGGCTCTAGATCTCAGGCTTACGTCAAAATCTGGCCTAGATCTACCCTTTGGAGTGAAAGAATTCCTATGGAACTTTAATATAATGCTCTTTATTCTTTTATTTAACTTTAAAGTAAATAAATGATTTTGTTTGTTTAATTTGCTATAGGGAACTCTCCTCTCAGGATTTTGGGCACACGTGTACATGCAACCCAGCGTGTTTTTCAAGTCACCAGGTCTGAGGCTCAAATTATGCTATCAGCCATGTGGGATCCAACTCTTTTAACCACAATGCCACTGCCTGGCTGGCCCCAGATGATAAATTTTAATGAAAGATTGGCTTTCTAGTAAAACTTTTGTGGGACCAGCAGATGGTTTAATAGTTACGTTACTGGACTCGCACCTAGTCGACTACAGTTCGAGTCCCAGATCCCGGGGGCTTAAAACTCATGCCAGGCATGTATGCGTGTGTGCCCAAGATCTGAGAGCAGAATGGAGGAGAAGGGATTGAGGTGTGGCCATCTCCCCGGGGGATGATTTCTTGCTTTCTGTCTCGCCCAGTCTGTGAGTGCATGCGCCCTATAGCAAAAATCTCTCTTAAAACAAACAAAACCTTTGTAACATGTTCTTTATGCATGTACCTTAACAAGAATGATTAATTTTTTTAAATCAGTATTTTTTTTAAAATGTACCTATCTAGCCTCGAGTAATACAATTTAAACAGATGATATGAATTGTGCGACATGACTCCACCGGAACAAATGAACTTCCTGAGGTATCGTATGTCTGGCATAAGCAGCTGGCAGGAGACACGATGACGTCATGCAGACACTGGGACACTCTCGGGCTTCCCAGTCACTTATGCCAGCCAGCCAGAGTTTCTGCAAGTTCCGGACCGCGTAAGACCAGAGCGCAAATGGGGGCAGCCAGGTATTTTCAGCTACAGGGGTCCTCCCTTCCCCGCTGTTTTGCTTTTCACAGTTTCAGTTACCTGCAATCAACTGCGATCTAAAAATAGGTGAGTACAGTTCAGTAAGGTATTTTAAGACAGAGATCACAGTCACATAATTTTTATTACAGTACATAGTTACAATCATTCTATTTTATTATTACAGTGTTAATCTTTTACTGTACCTAATTTATAAGCTGAACTTTATCACAGGTGTGTGTGCACAGGGAAAAACAGAATCTACAAGGCTCAGTACTATCCATGGTTTCCGGCATCCACTGGGGGCGGAGGGGGGGTATGGAAAAGACAGTATCCCATGCAGAAAAGGGGGGGGACCACCCATGTACCTGGTAGTAGATGTATACTTTCTTTGCTGCTTAGGCCACAAATGCTATTTCACATATGGGGCCAGCAGGTGGCATGGTGGTTAAGAGCACTGGACTCCCACATGGCCAACCATGGTTCGAATCCTGAACCTGGTGGCTTGTTTTCTCGCTTTCCCTCTCTCTCACTCTGTCCCTCTCTATTCAAATTAAAATAAATAAATAAAGTTAAATAAAAGTAAACAAAAAAAAAGTTAAGTCACATGTGATCTACAAAGACTCAGTCATGACCCTAGCTATTTAATTCAACTTCCAGTAATACTAACACAAACATCTGATCACACCATTTATAATAAGATTTCTCTGGTCTGAAACATCTCTCTGCAACTGACATCCAGACATGATGTTAAAAATACAACAAACCAAAAAAAAAACACCTATTATAAAGTACCTAACTGGGAACAAAATTTCTCTTAATATGTAGAAGAGGGGGGCATTACCTTTTTATTTATTTATTTATTTATTTTTAAGAGAGATGTTTGCTATAGGGCATGTCCACTTGCCAGAGACAGAGAGAAAGTGAGGCATCAACTGCCAGGGCAATGGCCACACTGCAATGCTTTCTGCTCCGTTTTCCTCTTAGGATTTGGGGCACTGCCCGGCATGAGTTTCAACCTGCTGGATCTGGAACCTGACCCACAGTCGTCCATCTGGGAGCCCAGCACCTTAAATACTATGCCCCTTGCTGGCCCCCGACATTACCTTTTTAAATTTTCAGTAATAACACCACTGAAACTGTCAAAATTCCAATTACAGGCTAGAAAAGCAGTTTAGGTCTTTATATAATGACTGCTTATGGTGAAGGCTCCTGCTCATTAACTATGCTAACCTAAGTTAAGTTACTGAACTTCTCGAAGCCTCATTCCTGGCATCTGTGAAATGAGGATGACGACAACATATATCACATGAAGAATGATGAGAACAGGACCTAGCAATGGTATTATCTAGTCTAAAGCTGGGAGTGATTGGCCACAAAAGATGCATTTATTAGTAACTAAGATACAGGCTTGTAATTTAGACATACTATTTTTAAATTTCACTTTGCCAAAGGGTGCATGTGCTCGCCAGATGGGGAGACAGAGATAGAGAGATAGGGAAAGTATGGCCACACCACAATCCCCTCTCCTCCATCTCTCCCTCCTTTCAGGATTTTGCGTACACATGCACACGCGCCCAGCATGCTTCTCCAATCACTGGGTCCAGGACTCGGAAGGGCGCAAGCAGCCATGTGGGGTCCACCTCGCCAGCAATTGGCATAGACATACTATTGGTAAACATCTGATAAAGATGTATACCACCTTGGCTGAGAGAACAAAGAAAATAATACTTTAGCCAAAGACGTCATACTAATCCAAAAATCCACTTTAAAAAGCGAAACGCGATGACAGCAGGTGTACCTTGAACAGGGATTTCCCCATAGTTTGGTCTCTTGTCTGATAGGGCGGTCAGGGGTTTGGAGGCTGTGATAGGTCCACTTATGGAATGTCTCTGAAATAAGATAAAGAGCATCAAAGTTAGGTCAAATCTAAGGCTAAGACACATGAAGAAAGCAAGTATCGCAGAAAGAAAGTAAATGCAGACAGTAAAATAGCTAGTTATTCATTAGCATACTCCCTTTTATACTAATAAAGTTGCAACACACACACTACAGGCATATAAGTGACCAATATGCTTTTTCTTTTGAGAAGTTGTTGCTATAGGGCATGGGAATTGCCTGAAATACAGAGAGAGACAGAGAGACAGAAAGCGAGGCAGGGGGGATGGCCACACCGCAATCCCTTCTCCTCCATTCTTCTATCAGGATCTTGGGCACACACACACACACACACACGCCTGGCGTGAGTTTACGCCACTGGGTCCAGAACTCAAACCGCAGTCGACTACGTGGGAGTCCAGCGACACAGCCATTACGCTAACTGCTGGTCCTAACCAATATCCTTTTCAAAAACTAACTTATGAGGAGATAACTGCAGATTCGTGCACAGTTGTAAGAAATAATCTAGACGGATCCCAGATACTCCGCTCAGTTTCCGCAATGGAAACATCCTATAAACCCAGAGTATCACAACCAAGATTCTGACGCTGACAAAGTCGAGATACAGAACATTTCCAGAAGGCTTCCTTTCCTAGTCACACCCCCTTCCCCCGATCTGTATCACTGACCCCTGTACCACTGACCATGGACATTCTGAGTGTGATTTTATCATTTTGTTTAAAGAGAATTCTAAAAATATCACAAACTAATTCAGTAAATGCAAAAGCATGTTCCAAGCGGAAATATGAGCGTGTTCCTTTTCTTTTTCTTGGAATGTGTTCCCAGTAGCTTCCCTGCTCATGCGTGCCTGTATCCAACCAGCTCTCATTCCTGTCACTTATGCCCTAGTCCCACTACCAACACAACCCTAGCACACCTGTCAGCCTCATCTAGCACTGCTGCAAGGCCTCTGTCCCAGCTTCCTCATCTCCAGACTTAGGCATACCCGAGCAGCAGGAAATATCCTGCACGAATACTTCAAACCCTCCAGTTATTCTGCTCCATCCCCGCCCAGAAAACGCCCAGACACCATCAAACTACCGTCATGTGCTCCACAACGCCTCGGCCAGTGATGGACTGTATATATGGTGGCTACGCCATAAGCCCCGGGTGTCCAGTAAGTCATACCGTCTAGGCTTGTGTGAGCACACTCATGATGCTGACTCACACAAGAGCACAACTGCCTGACACCTTCTTTTTTTTTTTGAGAGGTTTTTGCTGTAGGGCGCGTGCACTCACCAGACAGAGACAGAGAGACAGAAAGCGAGAAATCACCCCCGGATGGCCATGCCGCAATGGCTTCTCCTCCATTCTCCTTTCAGGATCTTGGGCACGCACGCACACACGCCCAGCGTGATTTTAAGCCAACAGGTCCAGGACTCGAACCGCGATCGGCTACATGGGAGTTCAGCGACATAGCCATTACGCTAACTGCTGGCCCCTGCCTGACACATTTCTCAGACCACACCTTTGTAGTTAATGCACGATTACTTCATTCCCTCTCAACTTTTCCCCAGCCATTTTTTTTTTAAGAGACTTTTGCTATAGGTCGCATGGGCTCACTGGAAAGACAGAGAGAGACAAAGAGATAGAAAGCGAGAAATCACCTCCGGGGGGGATGGCCGTGCAGCAATCCCTTCTCCTCTCGGGATTCTGGTCATGCGCATACACGCGTTAGGTTTTAAGTCACTGGTCCGGGACTCAGAACTGCAGTCGACTACATGGAAGTCATGATATAACCATGACATCATCTGCTGGTCTCCACTCAGCCTCTTTTCATCTAGCTAACTTCTAATATTCACTTCTTGTTGCCAGCAGAGCTGCGAGCGGTCTAGCTTCTCCACATCCTTACCGTACTTCATATTATCAGCCTTTTCTTTTTTCTTTTGGAGAGCTTTTTGCTATAGGGTGCATGTGCTCGCCAGGAAGAGACAGACAGACAGATAGAAAGTGAGAAATCACCCCCCAGGGGGGATGGTCACGCCGCAATCCCTTCTCCTCCATTCTCCTCTCGGGATCTTGGGCACGCACGCACACACGCCCGGCGTGAGTTTAAGCCACCAGGTCTGGGACTCGAACCACGGTCGACTACATGAGATAGCCATTACGCTAACTGCTGGTCCCAATTATCAGCCTTTTCGATGCTGGCCATTCTGAAGGGTACGGAGTGGGCTCTCACTGCAAGCTGAACTTCTGTTTCCCTCCTGACTGACGAAACTGAACATCTTTTCACGTGCTTATCGGTCATCTGTACGTATCTTCTCCTAGGAAGGGTCTTTTCAGATCTCATGCCCATTATTTACTGGGTTGTTTGTCTTTGTCGTACTGAAAACAACTCTTTCGTCAGGTAGATGTATCATGAGTATATTCTTCCCAGTCTATAGCTTGCCTCTGCTTTTCTTTAATGTTTTTCAGAGATGTTTTAAACTGAGGCCTATTCCTTTATGGTTTCTTCTTTTTTTTTTTTTTTAACATACTCTAAATAAGAAATCTTTGCACTCTCAAAGGTCATAACGATGTTTACTGTTCTCATCTGTAAGTGTTACAGTTGTAGCTTTCTCATTCTGGTCCACCGCCAATTTCAATTTTTATAATTATAGCACATGTATGTGGGAGACAGAGAGAGAGAGAGAGACCCTCAACAGGGTCTCCCCAACCCCTAGTCCCCTCAGTTCCTCAGGACTCTGGGCGCCCTCATGTGACCCAGGGATCCAAACCGGCGGTCAGCCCTCTGGCTCCAGCCCTGCAGGACACCCTGTTACCACTGCCCCACAGCCACTAGGCCTCTATGACCAATTTTAAAGAGATACTAACAAGATGAGCCTTTTGACCCATAATGATACTTCTTCCCATTTAGTACTTCTTTAATTTCTCTCAGCAGTACTTTACAGTTGTTGTTTTTTTCAGAGGTTTTCGCTATAGGGCACATGCGCTTGCCAAACAGACAGAGACAGACAGAAAGCGAGAAATCACTCCCAGGGGGGATGGTCACGCCTCAATCCCTTCTCCTCCATTCTCCTCTCGGGATCTTGGGCACGCATGCACATGCGCCCGGTGTGAGTTCTAAGCCACTGAGTCCAGGACACGAACCGCGGTCGACTATGTGGGAATCCAGCAACACAGCCATTACACTAACTGCTGGTTCCCTACTTTACAGTTTTTATGGTACAAGTCTTATAAATATTTCACAAAATTTACTGCTAAAACATTTTGATTTTCAATTGTTTCAATTGTTCATGCGAGCAAACAGAAATAACTGGTCTGACCCCATTCTGTAGGAAGCACGGTACAACAGAAGCTAGATCCCACACAGTCAACTGTGGTTCAAATCCTGGCCCTAGCAGATTAAAAACCATGCTGGGCTTATGGATCCACATGCCCCAAATCCTGATGGGATGAGGAAATGGAGGAAAAATGATTGCAGGATGACCACACACTACTGGGAGAAGTTCTGCTTTCTTTCTCTCTCTCTGGCAAGAATACATGTCCTTTGGCTATTAAAAAAAGAAGAGGGCCAGTAGGTGGTGTGGAGGTTAAGGTAGCTGGACCCCCCATAGCCAAATATGCAGTTAGAATCTAGACCCGGCAGCAGCTTTAAAAATATGCTGGATCGGGACCAGCAGTTAGCATAATGGCTATGTCGCTGGACTCCCATGTAGTCAACTGCAGTTCGAGTCCCAGACCCGGTGGCTTAAACTGACGCCGGGTGCGTGTGCATGCGTGCCCAAGATCCTGAGAGGAGAATGGAGGAGAAAGGATTGCGGCATGGTCATCCCCCCGGGGGATGATTTCTCATTTTCTGCATCTCTGCCTGTCTCCGTCTTTCTGGCAAGCACACGCACCCTATAGCAAAACAAAACAAAAAAAAGCTGGATACATTTGTGTGTGTGCCCAAAATCCAATGAAGGAGAAGGGACTGCGGCGTGGCCATTCCCCCTGGGGGTGATTTCTCCCCGCCCCCCACCTCCCTAGCAAGTGTACATGCCCTATAGCAAAAACTGAAAAAAAAAAAAAACAAATAAAAAAACCAAGTGACTTTTGTATAGTGATTACAATTCAGACCTTACAATTTTCTAAGTAAATGATCATGTCAGCTGCAGATAATGACTTTTACTTCTCCCTTCCCGATGTATGTGCTTTCTTTTCTTTTTCTGGCCTTACTGGACAGGACAGGAGTTCCGGCAAAATGCTGAACAAAGGGTGAGCTGTGCGTCCTAAACTTGGTGTCGGTCTGAGGAAGGAAAACATTCAGCCTCCGCGTTAAATACGATGTGAGCTGTCGAGTGCCCATAGATAACCTTTATCAACTGGAGGAAATTCCCCTCTTTTTCTAGTTTGCTGAAGAGGTTTTACTATAAATGGATAAGAAATCTTGTCGAATGTTTTTTTCCACAGATACTGAGATTCATGGTTTTTTTCTTCCTCCTTTATTCTGTTGAGATAAATGTTAACCTAATGCTAATCTCAGAAAATGAAGAGAAAGTCTTCTTTCGCGTCTGTTTTCTGAAAGACTTTACGCAAAACGGGAATTATTTCTTCCACAAAAGTTTGACCGAATTCACCGTAAAACCACCGGGGCCTGGAATTTTCTTTATAGGAAGATTCTTTTTATTTTATTTAACCTTTCATTTGAAATAATTATAGATTCATAGGAAGTTACAAAGACAGTACAGAGAAGTTTCAAGTACTCTCCATCCACTTCCCCTCAACGGTCTGCAGATGAATTCCCTTGCTTCTATGCAATAAAATCTAAGGTTCCTTTTTTTTTTCCCCCTAAGATACAGAATTCTAAGTTGACAGGTTTTTCTTTATCAGCACTTAAAAATGTCATCCCAGGGACCAGCAGATGGTGTACTAGTTACATTGCTGGACTCCCACGTGGTTGACTGCAGTTCGAGTCCCAGACCTGGCGGCTTAAAACACACTAGGTGTGTGTGCGTGCCCAAGATCCCAAGAGGAGAGTGGAGAACAGACTGTGACGTGGCCATCCCCCTGGAAGTGATTTCTTGCTTCCTGTCTCTGTCTCTCCAGTGACTACCTGCTCCCTGTAGCAAAAAAAATATGTCTCTTAAAAAAAAAAAAAAAAAAAAGTAACCCCAAGCTTAGCTGCAGTGCACATGCTGCTGAGGGGCTGCTGCTCAGAGGCTGAGGACCTCGGAAAGGCACAGGTTCCATTCCCAGCCCCATCTACAGGTGGGGGCAGAGGCCTGGACCTGTGGTCCTGGCCAGCTAAGAGGCTAGGGCAAAGGGTATCAACACGGCAAGACTCTGCCAAAGACCTCTCCTCTCCCCCCTCTCTCTCCCAAATAAGTAGGTTTATTGTAAAATGTCACACCGTTATCTTCTGGCTTTGCAGTTTACAGAAGCTGTAAACCTTTTGATCTGGTTGTTCTTCAGATGTTATCATCTCTGACTTTCAGAAGCTCTTTGCTGTGGTGAGTATGTCTGTACGTGTTTATCTAGCTTTAGGTTCTCTGGCTTTCTAGGATCTGTGAGTGTATAACTTCCATAAAATGTGAATAGATTTCAGCTATTCTTTCTTTTCTTTTGAGGGGTTTTTGCCAAAGGGCGTGTGAACTCGCCGGAAAGACAGAGACAGAAAGCGAGGAATCACCCCCCAGGTGGATGGTCACACCGCAATCCCTTCTCCTCCATTCTCTCGGGATCCTGGGCACACACGCACATGCGCCCAGCTTGAGTTTAAGCCACCGGGTCCAGGACTCGAACTGTGGTCAACTACATGGGAGTCCAGCGACGTAGCCATTACGCCATCTGCTGGTCCCATATTCCTTCAGTTGTTTTCTTTCTTTCTTTCTTTCTTTCTCTGACACACATCTCCACTTATTTTTCTTCAGGTATGTGAGACTACTTGATTTTACCCCACAGTTCAGAGGCGCAGTTCTTTGTGCTTTTTTGAGAGGGTTTTGCCTAAGGGTGTATACGCTCACTGGAGAGACAGACAGTGAGAGGGAAAGTGAGAAATCACTTCCCGGGGGTGGCTACGGTACCTCCATTCTTCTCCCAGGATTTTGGGCACGCATGCACATGTGCCCAGCGTGACGTTCAACCCACCAGGTCTGGGACTCAAACCACGGTTGGCCATGTGGGAGTCCAACGGTGTAACCTCTGGGCCAACTGCAGGTCCCTTCCTTTTTATTTTTCATCTTTTTTTGCACTGTGAGTCATTAAGGATAGATTCTACTGCTATGTCTGCCAAGGTACCGTCTTCCTCTGCTCCCTTTTGTATCTCCCACTTCTCGGTCATGTGCGTGTGTTACATCCTCAAGCGTAGTCGGCGTATGATGAAGCTGTCGGGAAAGTCGGGAGTAAAGTTTCCTGTGCTCTACGCAAACGTGCGCCATGATTCTCTAGACGACTCAGTGGGCTGTGCCAACCCCTCCGCTTCTACCCTGTCTGGGTCTGTCTACTGAGCGATGTTTCTCCTGGTGATAGGTCACATTGCCCTGTCCCTTCATTTAGTACATTTCTGATGTATGCCAGACTGCATTTTTCATTCTTGTGTCTTAACTTCAGTATAATTCTGTAAAGATGACTAGGCTTTGTTCTGGCAGACAAGTAAACTACCGTATTACCTATGTAAGCTGGATGACAAATGATCCCCAAACTTCACTGGCTTAAGACGAAAACCCCGAACATCTCACAGCTCCTAATGGGCCAGAAAGCTTAGCTAGGGGGCGACCAAGCTGGCCGCCAGGCTGCAGTCATCTGAAGGAAAATCTGCAGGAAATCGCCCTCCAGTCGACCCGCGGTAGGCAAGCCTCCAAAGACCCGTCTCCAAGCTTGTTATGAGGGTCTCCCCCAAGGCTGGCTGGCTCAGAAGATGGCAACCGGGTTCCCCTAGAGTGAAGGGATCCAACAGACCCAAAGAGGAGCACGCAAGGGCCACCCTAGCCATGTAGCAGTTGAGCCCTGTTCAAGAGGAGCCAGGCCCCACATGGCTGACTGCGGTCTGGATCCTTCCCCAGATCCTGACAGCACGGAGAGGTGGAGACAATCGGATTACGGTGTGACCACGCCCCATAGGGGAGCAGTCTCTCTCTTTTCCTCTGGTAAGTACATGCATCCTCTGGCCATTAAAAAAAAAAAAAAGTGGTGCAGTTAAAACCGAGGCCTTCTTTCCACAGCCTTATCTTGGAAGAGGCCACTCACCACTTCTGCCTTGATCTACTCGTTACAAGCAAACCATGAAGTCCAGCCAAAAGTAACAGGAGCAGATTCCACGAGGAGTCAAGGATCACAGGAAGCAGTTTAGAGGCTACCCACCACCATTACTGACGGATCGCCTTGGGCTTTCTGGAGCTCATTTTAAGGTAGTTCAGGGCAGATGGAGAAGAGCAGGTACTCCAGGGCTATTTGGTTCCACTTTAAGGCACGACCCTTTAGCAGTCCCTACGGAATGTTTCAACTACTAAACAGGGATCTCCACAGTGCCCGGTAGGAACTCGAATGGTTTCTGCCCTGTTGAACTATGGGAAGCGCTGGTCTGACAGCTCCCATCTAACTGCTCCTGGGACAGTTCTTGCCTAGCCCGTGGAATTTCACCTACGCATGCACGGACTGGCACTCGGGCAAAGACTCGAAGGGATGCAGGCCCCTCACCTACGTGGAAACAGTCCACTCAGCCACACTTTGCAACAGTGGCTGAACAAACAGCACGATGAGAGAGGGCCTTGGGCCCACAGAGACACAGCCATCCACCTGCTTCTGCTCTGCATTCCACAACGGCAAAGAAGGGGCACTTCCAAAACTTGTTTCTAATGAACTGACAACACTCTTAAGCTGGAGTATTACAAAATGCCCCCCCCCAAGGAATCCTACTTCTCTGAATCCATGCTTTGTGCAGACCCCTCCCACTCGAATCCTGAGCTGGTCTTCTGACTTGCATGGACCTATGAGTGGGCTCAAAGTGACATGGTCTCAGTTTCAAGCCTAGATCTTAAGAGGCTTTGCTAACTTCCACTTTCCCTAGCCTGGAGCTGAAGATATCACGCCATGGAGGAGCCTGAGAAGAAAGATCACATGCAGAGAGTGCCCGGTATGCAACTGCAGGAGTGAGTGCAGGCAATGCTGGCCAAGAACTGCCTCTCGCAAAGCAACGACCTGCTATTTTAAACCACTACGTTTTGAAGTGATCTGCTATGCAACAGAGGCCAAGACATGACAAGTATTTGCTCTACTTACAGAGGTGTCTTAGTGTAGCACAGCAGTTAACAGCATAGTCTCTCAAACCTGAGGGCCTTGGTTCAAATCCCAGCTCTACCATGTTTTAAGTGTATAAACCTCAAAAAGTTACTTAACTTTTTTGAGCCTGTTTCCACATGAAAAATAAGCATAAAAACAATACCTAATACCCACTAGGAGTAAGGATTATTTACTGTTATAAAACACTAGAATGATGCAGAGCACACCGTATTCATCAGCTGTTTGCTGTCACTATTACTAGTTTTATAGAACAACATAATTTACATTTATGTAATTTATCTCAAGGATACTCACGGTGTTTTAGAAAACAAACTCCAAATACATCCCTCATGAGGTAATTATTTGCCCACCTGATACGGGTGTAAACGACTTTGAAGAAAAGGTGTTAACCTTCAGCTCTTAGAGCCCCCAGAACCCTCCTGGGCCCAGGTGCTTACCTGCATAGGAGACACAGCTGCTGCAGGCGGGGTTTTCATAGGACTGGGACTCAGAGGTGTGCGAGGAATTGCAGCTGCAGCGGGGCTTGGTACTACAAAACCAAACAAGCAAGCAAGTAAGCAACAACTGCATCACACTGCAGCAGAAGCCTGTTTAACCTTGGGTTCCGCTTAAAGACTGACCAAGGTGACCAAGGCTCCCGAGCCCGCCGGAAGCTGTCGTGGTGGCTGCCTAACCTATTCTGAACTCACAGACAGGCCGCGGCGAGCCGGTGCTGCCTCCACAGGAGCACTGTGTGCTTCTCCGGAGTAGTCCTGGTTATTTCAAACCCTGTTTGTGCCCATCATTTCATTTTGTTATTTGATTACATTAAGTGGTTAAAGAGCTTCATGAGCCAATATAATCCAAGTACAAAAAATAAAATCCAAGACTTTCAATAACCGGGGAGAAGCCTCGCCCGAGGTGGATGCTCAGTCGCTGTGTTTAAAGGAAAGAACAGTGACCTCCTACTCACACTCCTTGCTCCTCCCTGCAGAGTTCACTGCTTCTCTTCCTATGTGTCTTCTGATTTGCATTTAACTCAGAAATGTGTAATTATTTGTTTAAATACCAGTTTCCCTCTCCAGACTAACTGTTCGTAAGTACTCCCCCCCCCAATTCACTCATTTATTAATTTTTAAACTCTTGGGATTAGACCTATGCATAGGGAGCCAGATCGCACAAGGCCAACCATGGTTTGGATCCCAGGCCTGACAACTTGAAAGACACGCCAGGCCACATATGTGTGTGTGTGTGTGTGTGTGTGTGTGTGTGTGTGTCCAAAATACTTTTTTTTTTTTGAGAGTTTTTTTTTTTTTTGCTATAGGGCATGTGCGCGCGCCAGAAAGACAGAGACAGAGAGACAGAAAGAAATCACCCCCCAGGGGTGACGGCCATGCTGCGATCCCTTCTCCTCCATTCTCCTCTCAGGATCTTGGGAACGCACACACACATGCCCAGCATGAGTTTAAGCCACCGGGTGTGGGACTCGAACCGTGGTCGACTACATGGGAGCCCAGCATCATAGCTGTTATGCCAACTGCTGGTCCCTATGTGTCCAAAATTCTAACAGGATTTCAACATGACCATGCCCCATCGGGAGTGTGCCATGTCCTCCATGCTACAAAAAACAAGAGGGAACACAGCTGAACACAGGCACACCATGCTGTAAATGATGCAGTAGATCACAGAGAAACTACGCAGTCGAGTATTTAGGTTTAGAATGTATTTAGGGACCAGCAGATGGTGTCATGGTTACATCGCTGGACTCCCACATAGTCAACCACGGTTTGAGTCCCAGACCTGGCGGCTTGAAACTAACACTGGGCATGTATGCATGTGTATGTGCCCAAAACCCTGAGAGGGGAATGAAAGAGAAGGGACTGCAGCGTGGCCATTCCCCTCCTCGGTGTGGGTGATTTCTTGCTTTCTGTTTCTGTCTCTCTAGCGAGTGTATGTGTCCTATAACAAAAATCTCTCTAAAATAAAAATTAATACAAGAATTTTTTTTTTTGAAGAGGTTTTTGCTATAGGGCGTGTGTGCTCGCCAGACAGACAGAGAGAGACAGAGAGACAGAAAGCGAGAAATCATCCCCCAGGGGGGATGGCCATGCCACAATCCCTTCTCCTCCATTCTCCTCTCGGGATCCTGGGCATGCATGCACACACACCCACCTGGCGTGAGTTTAAGCCACCGGGTCCGGGACGCAAACTGTGGTCGACTACGTGGGAGCCCAGCAACATAGCCATTACGCTAACTGCTGGCCCCAATAGAAGAATTATTAAAAGAATATATTTATTTTTTTTTCTGAGATAAAACTGACATAACACAAAGTTACCCATTTTTAAAGGTATAGTTCAGTGCCATTTAGTAGGTTCATAATATTGTACAATCACCTCTACCTACTTTCAAAACACTTCTGTCACCCCAGATGGAAACCACTACCTGTCAGGCAGTCACTCCCACTCCCTAACCGCCCTTTCCCCCAGACCGTGGAAGTCACTTTGGCATAATACACAGACACGGGATCTTGCAGTACGGCCTGCTGTGTCTAGCTTTTCCCCCTGGTATAATACTGTAAGAATCTACCCATTTTGTTGCAAGTAACAGTACGTCATTCCCTCCTACGGCTAAATAACATGCCACTGTATGGACGGACCACGTGTTGCTGATCTGCTCGTCCAACGCAGGAACACTTGGGCTGCCGACACCTCTTGTCTACTGAGGACAGTGCTGCTAGGACTATTCACGTACAGATAATTGTCTAAATACTATTTTTAATTCTTTTGAGTATATAACTAGAAGTTGAACGGCTGGGACATTTAGATGTACTTTATAATAAAATAATATTTAGTTTTTTAAAAAGATCAGTATAGGGACCAGCAGGTGGCATAGTAGTTACGGCTCTGGACTCTCATACGGTCAACCGCAGTTTGAGTCCCTGAACTGGTAGCTTGAAACTGATGCCAGGTGCATGTGCATGTGTGCCCATATTCTGAGCGGAGAATGGAGGAGAAGGGATTGTGGTGTGGCCATGCCCCTGGAGGGTGATTTCTCTCTTTCTGCCTCTCTCCAGCAAGCAAATGCACCATATGGAAAAATCTCTATTAAAAAAAGAAAAAATCAGTCCAGAGGCAGTCACATCTGTTTTGCAGTAAAGCACCTTATATTTGATTTTTTAAATGCCACAGGGCACATTACAAGAGAAGAGAAAAAGAGAGCACGTGTGCAAATGCACACACTTGTGAGCAACCTCCAGTGGGCCTGGTCACAATGCAAACTGTTTCCGTCCCATACTCCATCCCATCAGGATCCAGGGCACATGTGTATGCGGTATTTTTCAAGCAAAGCTGCTGGGGCCAGGACTCAAACCCTGGTCTCATGCCTTTAAATGTGCATTTAAGCAATTTCTAGATTTTCTTTTTTTCTCCCTCAAATGATGTGATGCTGAAAACTGTGTGTGAGTGTGTGTGTGTGTGTGTGTGTGTGTGTGTGTGTCTGCGTGTGTTTATTTACTTGTGTTTGTCTTTAAATACTTATGCCAGTATTACACACGAAAATTTTGGAGTTCATGAGCCAGCCAGGTGTGGTCGTTACGGTGACTGAATCCTACATGGCCAACTGCGCAGTTGAGTCCCAGACCCGGCAGCTTAAAAGACACAATGAGCGTGAGGGTGTGCACGTCCAAAACCCCGAGAGGCGAGCGAGGAAGGGATGAGCCGTGGCCGTCTTCCCCAGGAGGGGGTGCGCTTTCTCACTTTCTCTCTCTGCATCTCTCTGGTGAGTGCACACACCCAATAGAAAATTTGAAAAGAAGAACTTTAGGGTCTGTTAAAAATGGCATTTTGGGGCTGACAGGTGGTATGGTGGTTAAGACACTAGACTCCCACATGGCTGACCACGGTTTGAGTCCTGGACCTGGCAGTTTGCTTTCTCTCTTGCTCTCTCTCTTCCCCTGTCTCTCTCTGGTGAGTGAACATCCCCTATAGCAAATTAGGAAAATAATAATAATTAAAAATAATTAATTCTTTAAAAGAGAGAGAGGGAAATCAATTACCTTGAGATGCACTGTCGAAAGACTTGATGAGGGTCTTCACAGTAGGGGTTGGCTCTGAGGACGTCGAGGACCTTCTGCTCAGCCCCATCCCTTGCCTTAAGGCCGCCAGATCCCTCTCAACGGCATTCATGTAGTTGTACACCCGGCCGCGCTCTTCCTCTTGCCTGAAAACGATATTGACATTGGCATTTTTACAAGGGTACCCAAAAAATACACATTTCCCCTCCTTACGAAAAACATTAGAAGGTATCCATTTAAAAAAGAAAAAAAAAATAATGGTATCAGTTGAGCTGAGTAAATTACCTGGTCTAATATTCTCATTTGCTGGGCAAATACCAGGAAATGATACTAACGTTTTTATATCAGGTTATCCTAAGTAAGTTAAATAACCATCAAATTCTATTTTCATCTGAGTAAGTGTAAGGTAAGGACATCAGTAATCAATTAGCACGAAAATAAGAGACGGACTGGCCAAAGATCCTGACTTAAAATCAAGAATCACTGCGTTCTGGGCTGCCGAGAAAGCCCTGCCCTCCTCAGGAGGAGTCTGGGAATTCACCAGTGTGCATGAGTGATCTGCGCTGACTCTGGCTAATACGCAGTGCTTCGATATGCAAGTACGAAGAAATAAAACCAAAGCACGTACTCTTTAAAATAACTGCCATAGCCTCCAAGCAGAATTTATACAAAGTAAAAAAAGAAAAAGAAAGAAAAGAAACCAAGGCGCACATTGGAAACATGAGCCCCCAGAAGCTCAGTGCGATGTACCCAGAGTCACCCAAAAAATCAATTCCCTTCCATTCCCGGCTCTCTCTGCTTCGCTGAGCTAACACAAAAGCGTTCGTCGGGAACGAGTTTAGACTTGCAGAGTTTGTACCTGTCATGTAACTATCAAGTATATTTATAGGTAGATAAAAATCAAGCTGGTCCTTAGGAAAATGTGTCTTTAGTGGCTGCTGGCACTTCTGGTAGATTTTTGGTTCAAGACGTACCGAAGGCCTGTCTCCTGCTCAGCTGTCATGATTAGAAGTTACGTGTGCTTGTTTTTAACTCTCGGGTGTTTCTGCTTTACTCGTGACATGGGAGTTAAATGGGACATGAGCGGGAAGACTGAAGAGCACCCTCCATCGTGCCCAGCCACACTGGGAGTCTCTTCTCCATCTTCCCGTCGGACCTCGGGCACTTTCAATGTGCGCCCAGCATGTTTCTGGCCCACCCAGGTGGGGATTTGAACTGAGGCCACCATGTGGGATCTGGCTTCTCTGGAGCAGTGCATGACCTCGGCAGCAAGGACCCTGCACGGTTATAAGCTTTAATAAGGAATTGATTTTAAGTCAAACTTTTTAGTCTTAGCACCCCTATCAACTCCTAAAAATGACTGAGAACCACCAATAGCTTTTGTTTCTGTGGATTACCTCCCACTAAATTTAATGATAACTAAAAACACATTAAGGTATTTAATTCGGGGCCAGCAGGTGGCGTGGTGGTTAAGGGCACTGGACTCCCACGTGGCTGACCACGGCTCAAGTCCTGGACCTGGTGGCTTGCTTTCTCAGTCCCCCCCTTTCACTCTGTCCCACTCTGGACAAATTATAATCAATCAATCAATAAAGTTAAATGAAAGAATTCTTTCAAAAAGTATTTAATTCATCTAAAAATAAAAATAAGCCCAGGATGCATTAACATGATTAACATATTTTTAAGGGAAAGACTGTAGTTTCCAAAACCAAAATTAATTAGTAAGAGGAAAAGCAGTGTTTCAGTTCTGAACAACTCTTTAATGTATGGCTTAATAGACAGCAGCTCAATTCTTACACCTTCTGTATTTAAGCTACTGCAATATTGACGATAGCAGGTATTCACAAAGAAATGTAAAGAATATTTTTATAGCCTTTTTAGATAACTGTAGCTACTCTTCTATATATTATACCAAAATATCACAAGTAGTCGTTACTTAAACCGGTTAGTGGGGGCGGTGAGGCTGCAATGCTGAGCCTGAAACCATAGAAATGAACTTTCCCTATCCTGCCTATTAACGCGCACTGATCTGGCTCATCCGATCCCTGTGCTGGCCTGAAGAGGCGCTGGAGGGCTGAGCGTGTGCGGACACCCAAGATCCTAAGGAGCCAGAGGACCGAGGAAAGTGCTGCAATGAGATGGGGCCCCCTCGGAGGACGCTTTTTTCTCTTTGCTCTAGAACGCATGTGTAAGTACGATCGTTTTTTTTTTAAAAAAAGAAAAAACAAACCAAAAAAAGATCAAATAAGTCCCTCTACTTGAACAAAAGCTTTTTTTTAAGTTAAAAACTAAAATCCAGGCTAGCCAGTGGCATGGTGGTTAAGGCAGCTGGATCCCACATGGCCAACTGCGCTGTTGAAGTCCCAGACCCAGAGACTTGAAAACTACTCCTGGAGCCTGTACATGTGCACCCAAAATCCCAGAAGAAGAAATGGAGAAGGGACTGTGGCATGGTCATCTTCCCTAGGGGAATGCTTGCTCACTCCAGCCCCACTCTACCCCCAGACTGAAAATAAACAAAATAAAAATAAAAATCCACTGGTCCATTCTGTACTTTGAATGAATCTTTTCTTTTTCTTTTCTAATCTTTTCTTTCTTTTTATCTTGATCTAATTCTTAAGATTTTTGCTACAGGGCGTATGTGCTCGCCAGACAGAAAGTGAGAAATCACCCTCCAGAGGGACGGCCACTCCACAATCCCTTCTCCATCCTTCTCTCAGGACCTTGGGCACACATACATATACACCCGGAGTGAGATTCTTTTTTAATTTATTTTTAAAGAGACTTTTGCCACAGGGCCCGTGTTCTTGTGTGAGAGAGACAGAGAGACACAGAGACAGAAAGCGAGAAATCACCCCCCCGGGGGGTAGCCATGGTGCAGTCCTTTCTCCTCATTCTCCTCTGGGGATTCTAAACGTGCACACACACTCTCGGCGTGAGTTTTAAGCTGCTGGGTCCAGGACTCAAACTACAGTCGAATACATGGGAGTTCAGAGATGTAACCATTATGCCATCTGCTGGTCCCCGAATGAATTTTCTTTTACACATACATAATTGTGCAACATCACGGATTGGTTTAGGTAAAATTCTGAGTTACAATTTTCTAAATGTCTGTCATTACAACATATTTCTTAAAAGGCCTTTTGCTGGTATCACCAATTATCTCATCAGAAGACTATGAGATGGAGTCAGCAAATGGTATGGGGGTCAGGGCACTGGATGCCACACACCAGACCTGGTGGCTTGAAAATCACGCCAGGTGCGTGCACATGTATGCCAAAAATTGCTAGGGAAGAATGGAGAAGGGACTGCAGTGTGTGTGGGGGGGGAGGGGAGGGGGTTTCTCACTTTCTCTGTTTCTCTTTCTCTCTCTTGCTCCGGGTCTCTCTCCAGCGAGCACACACGCTCTACAGCAAAGGGAAAAACAAAAGGAAAGCTAACTATGGGAAGAAACCAAGCTCACAATGACAGATACGAGTTTTCCCGAATCTGAACCACTTACTTGAAAGTTTGTATCTTATCACTCATAACAAATACTGTCCGTTGTCTTCCTTGAAATGACAGGCCCTCTTAACCATTTTCAAAAATACCCACCAGATACTACTCGGAATATTCAGTTTGTTTTTTAGTCATTGTCAAATAAAAAGTGTTCCATGCAAAAAAAAAAAAAAAAAAAGTTAACTGACGCCAAAACAACCACACAGCGCTTTCCTCAAGGCGACTTCAACTTTAGGGCAAAGGAGACATGGAAAAGCTTTATGTATACTTCCAAGACTGTGAAACTGTGTGTACCAAGATTGAGATCTAGTAGAATCGAGAATCTACTGTGCTCCCCAAAGACATCTTTAGGTAAAAGCTACATTTATTAAAAACGTGGGCTTGAGATGGCAGAGAGTACAGTGACTACAAGTACGACTTACTTGCCAACAGCTCACACTTGCTTTTCACTGTCGGTGCAAAAGCAGGCACAGTGAAAAGGGCAACCAATACATCTGTTATGTTTTTAAAACATTATTTTTAAGAATTATTTCATTTAACTTTATTTATTGTTTTTTAACTTGACCAGAAAGGGACAGAGCGAGAGAGAGGGACAGTGAGAAGGCAAGCTGCCAGGTCTGGTAGTCGAACCATGGCCAACCATGTAGGAGTCCAGCACCCCTAACCACTATGCCACCTGCCGGCCCCACACATTTGTAGTATTAGGAAACAGCCTGACCTCGCAGACCTGCTAGAAGAGCCTTACAGCTCCACAGGAATCTGCAGACCTCACTTTGAGAACTGCAGGGGATACCGTCTCCATTCTGTTTGTTGGTTTATTTTTTCCCCAGTTTGGTACAGGGCGCATGTACTCACCAGAAAGAGACAAACGGAGAGAGAGAGAGAGAGAGAGAGAGAGAGGAAGGAAAAATGAGAAAGCAAGCCACCAGGTCTAAGAATTGAAACACAGTGGCCACGGAGGAGTTCAGAGACTTAACCACCATGCCACCTTTTTATTTGTTTTTATCGTTATTTTTAAAGTTTGTTATAAGACACTCGTGCTTGCCAGAGAGAGAGAGAGAGTGAGAAAGCACCCACCAGAAGTATAACCATGCTGCAATTCCTTCTCCTCTGAGATTTTGGGCACGTATGCACAAGTACCTGGCAGGTTTTTCAAGCCACTAGGGTTCAGGGCGTGAACTATGCAGTCAGCCATGGGAGGTCCAGTCACTTTACCCACCACACCACCACACCACCACACCACCATGAGTTGGCCCCAAACTGCCTCCGTTTTAAAGATGAGAAAAGTGAAGCTCCGAGAAGTTAAGGTGCCTGACCAAGATCTCTCAACTACTAAGGGGCAGAGTTGGATGGACCTCTTCCCTGTGGGCCGCCAGAGCCCACATAAATCACAAGGCCACCGTCTAAAGTAAAGTAGCAGGGCTGGGGTGTGGGGACAGAGGAGAAAATGTAATGTGTCCTCGTGGCAGGACGACCGTGGCTCCCACCCGAGTTGCCGATCCCTGACCCTGACAACTCCTAAAGACAGATGGAGTCTTGAAAGGAGGCCCGGAAAAGCTGCGTAAATTCCCCCAGAGTCAAACTCAGTCCTATCAAACCCCGCGTCCGCTCCGTAATGCCGTGTTCCGAAACTGACATCTAAGCGTTCTCTACGGCAATGTAAATACACAACTGGTTCCTCAGAACATACTTGCGTGACTTTATTTCCTCCAATTCTTTTGTGAGTTTCTCATTTTTTTCTTGAGCCTCATGTAACCGGCGCTTCAGATCCCCAATCTCCTCTTGGGCTTCCGATTTAATGTCATTTGCAATGACCACAGCAGTCTGGAGGTCAGCTTGAAACTGCCGCCACTCTGCAGATTCTTCCTGCATTAAAAAACTACGTTTTCATTTTCAGAGGACAACAATGCAGATTTATTTCAAAGCAATAAAATTTGTGTATGATTAGATTGCTATAATGCACTGTGCTCCCAAATGATTAATTTTTAATGATTAATTACAGAGAATTGCTATTATCTATTTTTTAAAAGAATTATTTAACTTTACTCATTTTAATTTGAACAGAGAGAGAAAATGGGAAAGCAAGCCACCAGGTCCGGGAACTCACACCGCAGTCGGCCAAGTGGGAGTCCAGCACCCTAAACCACCATGCCACCTGCCGGCCCTGCTATTACCTATTTTTAATAGGCAATGCAACTATTAGTAAACTTGTTCTTTTTTTCTTTTTTTTTTCTTTTTTTAATTTTTGAAAGGTTTTTGCTATAGGGTGCATGAGCTCGCCAGAGAGACAGAAAGCGAGAAATCGCCACCAAGGGGCGATGGCCACGCCGCCATTCCTTCTCCTCATTCCCCTCTTGGGATCTTGGGCATGCATGCACACGCACCCAGCGTGAGTTTAAGCTATCGGGTCCAGGACTCAAACCATGGTCAACTACATGGGAGTCCAGCGACGTAGCCATTACACTATGTGCTGGCCCCTAAACTTGTTCTCAATGAGGAAAAAAATTTTAGCTGATCGGCCTACTGGGGCACCAAGCACTTAGGAGTGCTCAGTAAACATTCATAATATCAACCCTCCTTTCCTCATGCAAGTTTCAAAGCAAGTCTTACGAAAATAAACATCCGAAATTTACAGAGTTTTACCTCTGAAAAGTTCAAGGTATATAAATGGTATGTGAACCATACAGCGAAAAACTATAAATATCCTGACATCAAAAACTGACCAAAAAAAAAAAAAATCAAAAGTAAAGGAAAAGGAAAAGGAAGCCAGAAGAAAAACACTGAACTCAGTATAGGCAGACAGAATCACACAGAGGCAGTGAGGGACTGTACGGTCTGCTGCTTCCCACAGTCGTGGAGGATGTGGGTGTGGCCATGGAGGGAAGTCCCCGCAGGCCGCACCTCCACCAGAGCCCCAGCTGGGCCGGGCGTGAGCCCAGCACCCGGCCCCACAGGTGGTTCTGACGTGGTGAAGGTGGCCTGAGCGACTGTGATGGGACCGACTATTGGATCGGCTCTCTCCCCACCCTCTGCTTTGTAGAAGCACTGTGTTGGCAAGCCGATCAAATCCACAGAATAAAGAAAACTCAAATGAAAACAGCTGAGTCTGGGCTACGCTATAATCAAGAGCTAATGGAATTTTATTTTCACAAAATATGACATGTATTTCCCAAACCCATCTTCCCAAAATAACAGCCATGTTTTCGCAGTACATTCTTCTACACAAAATCTAGCGTCGGTCCTGATTTACACGGACCGCATGTGCTTTCTGCCCAAAGCCCAATGGGGCCAATATTATCACCATACCTAAAGCTTAAGAGGGATGACCACACGGTCAGCGGTGACACCTCAAGTCCCAGAAACTACTTCCGTGAGATAATACATGGAGATTTAGCCTACCCGAAGTCTCCTGTGGAGTGTCTTGATTTCTCTTTCCATGTCATGTTTTTGGTCCTGTAGCTTTTTAACCGTATCTGAAAAGATCACACAAGTTTAATTGTTCGCTCTTAGAGCTGTGTTCAAAGGGAGCAAGTGAAAAAGAAGAGGCACTTGAGGTGACATTCAAAAAATATTTGTCCTGCCCTAAGCCTTCTTTTTTAATATAAAACTTAAAAAGAAGACAAGAATGTTCAATCCGAGTTTTAACCAATACTACTTTCTAAGGAAAATATCAAGTTAAAATCACATTACTGGATCACTTCCTTCCTCGATGTCTTAATTCTGAAACAAAAAGTTAAGTAAAATCAATTGTTAGGAACACACAATGTTGGCACATAACCAATCCAAACAACACTGACTGCTATTAAAATGTGAACTTTTAATCATAAGGGTTATTAATCTAAAGTATTCATGTAAGCATAACTTCCTCTACACACTGGAATGAATTCCAGAAAGGTTGTAAATCAGTAAAAATTAGTAAAACCAATTAAATAATTAATTACATATATACCTAGGAGAGCTACTGTCTAAATTCATTTTACAGAAAAATTTTTAATAAAGACTATAGTATTGAAATAAATCCAATAACTCCTCAAAAAAATTCTAGAAGTGGTTTTCTGCCCCCTAAAATTTTAAAGAATTATTTAATTTTATTTATTATTTTTAATTTGGCCAGAGAGAGGCAGAGAGAGAGAGGGGAAATGAGAAAGGAAGCTGCCAGGTCTGGGAATCGAACTGCAGTTGGCCATCTGGGAGTCCAGCACCTTAACTGCCATGCCACCTGCCAGTCTCCCTTAAATTATTTTTTACAGTTTTAATTTATTAGTTTTTTTAGAAGCGATCTTTGCTATAAGGCATATGAGCTCTCCAGAGAGACAGAGACAGGAAGCGAGAAATCACCCTCGAGGGAAGGCTAGGCCACAATCCCTTCTCCTCCATTCTCCTCTTGGGATTTTTGGGCATCCGCACACACGTGCCTAGTGTGAGTTTCAAGCTGCCAGGTCCGGGACTCAGACCACAGTCGATCAGGTGGGAGTCCATCGCCTTAATCACTACACCACCTGCTGGCTTTCTTTTTCTTTTTGCCATAGGGTACGTACGTACGCTTGCCAGAGAGACAGAGACAGAGAGGGCGAAAGTGAGAAATCACTCCCCAAGGGGGATGGCCATATCACAATCCCTTCTCCTCTATTCTCCTGGGATTTTGGGTCCACACACATGTGTCTGGCTTTTCAAGCTGCCGGGTCTGGAACTCGAATGGTGGTCGGCCACGAGAGAAACCAGTGCCTCAGTCACTCACTACACCACCGGCTGGTCCCACTCCTCAAACTATGTACTACATAATACATGACTTTCTCAGAATGATTTCCTTCGCTCTGTATAAACATTTTGTAAACACCAATGACGTGCAAAGTGCCACCCCAGACAGAGTGGGTTACAGAGATGACGGCACAGCACAGACTAGCTCCTCTGTAACCGGAAATACACAGGAAGTCACAGTCTGGCTCCGCTGCAGTGGCACAGCCAGCAGGGCACTGCTTCTCCGTACTGGAGCCCTATGAGAAGGTCCAGAGTTCAGGTCCAGGGCCACCCTGAACCTGGGTTCCCGCAAGTATACCCAAGATCCTGGCAGGCTAGAAGGTTAAGGGGAATCACGATGTGACAAGACATTGTCTGGGATCTCTGTCTCTCTCATTCGCTCATGGAACAAAGAAAAAAATAAACTTAAAAGCAATCGCATGTGCAATGGTGATTATAAATGTAGGAGGCTGGTGGTAATAAACCGTATCCACACGGGATGGGTCCTGGGTTTACATCCCACGACTTCCCTGAGCACACCTGGCAGGAGACCGAGGACAGACTGTGGCGTGAAGACCCTGCTGGGGTGCCTGTTTCTCTCTCTCTTCTAGAAGAGATAATGCGATTTTTAAATAGAGTTAGAAATTATTCTTCTAAAATTAATTACAATACATAACGATGCTGCATTTCTAAAGTCAGAAGAGAAATGAAAGAAATGGGTGAGGTCGGAGGCCTAGGAGGCCTAGTGGATGAGGTGGCTGGATCCCACGTGACTGGCCATGCATGACTCTCCGACCCAACAGCTGAAGTAACGTGCTGGTGGGGCCAGCAGGTGGTGTGGTGATTAAGGCACTGAATTCCCATGTGGCCGGCCATGGTTCAAGTCCCAGACCTGATGTCTTGAAATCATGCCGGGAACGTGTCTGTGTAGACCCCAAATCCTAAGAGGAGAATGAAGAAGAGAAGGGGCTGCAAGATGGCCTTCACCCCTGGGGCATGATTTCTCACTCCCCCGTCTCTGTCTTTCTGCTGTGAATGCACGCTCCCTATGGCAAAAACCTTGAAAAAAGAAGAAAGAAAGAGAGAAAGAAACACACCAGTACGTGAGCACACGTGCCCCACATCCTGAAAGAAGGCAACGTGGAAAAGGGACTGTGGCTGTGGTGTGACCATGCCTGCCCCTCTCTCTCAGTGAGCACACGTGCCCTCTGGCAAGAATGAATAAAGAACTGAATGATAGAAATGGGGTAAAATGTGGGGAGGGTGGGGACAGGTCAGTTTTGGTAGCCAGTAGTTAACTGTCTTTCAATCACTGCCCCTAAATTGTTTAATAAAGTCAGGGCCTGTGAAATAAAAAAAAAGGTTACAAATGTATGCATTCAATAAGTCAATAAATGTCTCATAAATACCAACTCTGGACTAGGGCTTTTTCTAGGCGCTAAAGAGACAGAGGAAAGGAAAACCATGTACTCCCTGACTTGTCAGAGACGGAAAGGCCCCCCTGGTGCTGAGCTAGCAAATACACAAGTAATTAAACTTTACAGGCTGCCTCAGGCCAGCCCACACAGCGGCAGGGAAGCACTGCTCAGAGAGCCAGACCCCACATGGTGAGTGCAGTTCAAACCCTGGCTCTGGGGGCTTGAAAAACCCAGCAGGCGCGTGTGCTCGTGTGCATGCCCCAAATTCTGACAGAAGGGAGGAATGAGTAAAAAGGACTGTGGCATGACCATACTTCCCTCATTAGGGGCTGCTTCCAGACCCCCCCAGGAGCACATATGCCTTCTGGCGATGAAAAAGAAAAAGAAAATGGAAATGAAAAAGAAAAGGAAAGAAGAGAAGAGAAGGTGTACCTCTTGTCACATCTTTTAAAAAAAATTGGTTTTTATTTACTATTATTATTTTTCCAGTGTGACCAGCAATGGGGGAGTCCAGCACCTTAACCACACACCACCTGTCAGCCCCTTATTGCCACCTCTTACTACCATTCCTTTAAATAGAAAGCAAGCTGGCAGTCAGTGAACATATTTCGACAGAATAAAATGTAAGAAGGGGCTGCAAGATGGCCTTCACCCCTGGGGCATGATTTCTCACTCCCCCGTCTCTGTCTTTCTGCTGTGAATGCACGCTCCCTATGGCAAAAACCTTGAAAAAAGAAGAAAGAAAGAGAGAAAGAAACACACCAGTACGTGAGCACACGTGCCCCACATCCTGAAAGAAGGCAACGTGGAAAAGGGACTGTGGCTGTGGTGTGACCATGCCTGCCCCTCTCTCTCAGTGAGCACACGTGCCCTCTGGCAAGAATGAATAAAGAACTGAATGATAGAAATGGGGTAAAATGTGGGGAGGGTGGGGACAGGTCAGTTTTGGTAGCCAGTAGTTAACTGTCTTTCAATCACTGCCCCTAAATTGTTTAATAAAGTCAGGGCCTGTGAAATAAAAAAAAAGGTTACAAATGTATGCATTCAATAAGTCAATAAATGTCTCATAAATACCAACTCTGGACTAGGGCTTTTTCTAGGCGCTAAAGAGACAGAGGAAAGGAAAACCATGTACTCCCTGACTTGTCAGAGACGGAAAGGCCCCCCTGGTGCTGAGCTAGCAAATACACAAGTAATTAAACTTTACAGGCTGCCTCAGGCCAGCCCACACAGCGGCAGGGAAGCACTGCTCAGAGAGCCAGACCCCACATGGTGAGTGCAGTTCAAACCCTGGCTCTGGGGGCTTGAAAAACCCAGCAGGCGCGTGTGCTCGTGTGCATGCCCCAAATTCTGACAGAAGGGAGGAATGAGTAAAAAGGACTGTGGCATGACCATACTTCCCTCATTAGGGGCTGCTTCCAGACCCCCCAGGAGCACATATGCCTTCTGGCGATGAAAAAGAAAAAGAAAATGGAAATGAAAAAGAAAAGGAAAGAAGAGAAGAGAAGGTGTACCTCTTGTCACATCTTTTAAAAAAAATTGGTTTTTATTTACTATTATTATTTTTCCAGTGTGACCAGCAATGGGGGAGTCCAGCACCTTAACCACACACCACCTGTCAGCCCCTTATTGCCACCTCTTACTACCATTCCTTTTAAATAGAAAGCAAGCTGGCAGTCAGTGAACATATTTCGACAGAATAAAATGTAATAAACATGCCTCTAGGGAATTTGATTTAAGCTTTAGAGCCATGTCTGCATTTTTCACTCTGAAATCTAAATTATTAAAAATGAGGGGCTGTCGGGGACCAGCAGCTGGACTCCCATGTAGTCAACCACGGTTCAAGTTCCAGACCCGGTGGCTTAAACTCATGCCAGGCGTGTGTGTGTACATGCCCAAGATTCCAAGATTCCAAGAGAACGGAGGAGAAGGGACTGTGGCGTGGTCATCCC